ATCTTTGTTCTGATTATGTATGTGGTTCGAGTGTGTGTTTTTAAATCTTGGGATTACTTCCAAGCACTTTGGCTGCCCGACCAAATAAAATGGATACGCCTTTTGCAAACATAGTGCCTATTTATCATAGCCATGTCTCTGCAGCTATTTACAAAGGAAGAACTCTGTGTTTGGCAGAAAGAAAATGGCGTGTCTCTAATGGTTTTGATTCAAATTATTCAAGCACATTGGACAGTTCTCTGGGCTATCTTACATCTCCCATCCTGCCCTTCTGTCTCCTTTATTCTGTCCTTCCTTGAGAGTCAAGACAATGGAAGGGCAGCTCCTGTGTTTAGAATAGTTCGTCTGGTTTCAGTTCTAGTGAAAAAGCTGAACAGGTGTTTGGAAAGAACCAGGAGAGTCGGCTCCCAGTACTCTCAAAGAAGAGCCTCAGATCTCAGGGCTGACACCCATAAAGGAAGAAATCACTGGCAACGCTTTGAGTCTCCAGCACACAGAGGACAGCATCTGACTTGAAAATCTGGGGCCACCATTGTCACAAAGTTAAGATTTTGTTCTTTTTAGAAAGGTCGGCAGCTCTCTCCCATTCAAGCCACCAAGGTAGAATAACTTGAAATCGATTTTACTTCTGGAAGGGAGAAGTTAAGCTGAGATTTTGTTTCCCCCTGGCTGGAACAGCAGCCTCTGCGTACTGTATATAGTGTAAGAAGTGTACTGCTTACGTTGCTTTCAGAAATCTCCTAACCCAGGGTTTCTGATACTAAAATACAAATCCATTGCTGTCGGGACAATTCTGACTCATGGTTATATGACGTTTTGCTGGGCTCCTGTGTGGCACTGCTAACCACAAGGCTGGTGATCCAAACCCATCAGCCGCTCCTTGGAAACTGTCTGCAGGGTTGCTATGAGTCAGAACTAACTTGCCAGCACTTAACAACAACAACAGCGACACTCTATAAGAAGCCCTGGTGGTACTGTAGGATAAGCACTGGACTACTAAACACGAGATTGGTGGTTCAAACCCCCTAGCAACTCCTCGGAAACCCTATTTAGAATCAGTGGGGAATGTCTGACCTGTGGGCAATATAAGGCCCACGAAATTATTTGGGCTGGGTCTGCCAAGGCAACTGCAGTTCCAGCCATCACATTGTTGTTGTTGTTAAGTGCTGTCAAGTGGCTTCCAACCCATAGTGGCCTATAAAGGGTTTCCAAGGAGCAACTGGTGAGCTTGAACCCCCAATCTTGCAGTTCTAATTGACTTAGCAGTCTGGAACATTAACCCACAGTGCAACACCAAGACTTCAGCCATCAAGTTGTTGTTGTTGTTAAGTGCTGTCAAGTTGGTTCTGACCCATAGCAACCTTCTATAGGGTTTCCGAGAAGCGACTGGTGAGCTTGAACCACTAACCTTGTAGTTCAAACCGACTTTGCAGTCTGGTGCATTAATCCACTGCGCCACACCAAGACTTCAGCCATCACATTAGTGGTGAGTTAATTCAATGTCTGGCCAAATACAGCAGGCTAATTTTTAAGTTGATAATTTTATATGACCCATTAATGATGTTATAAATTTTGACAGAAAAAAGGTTCCCCACCCCTGCTATAAGGAGCTCTGGTAGCATAGTGGTTATGAGTCGGGCTGCTAACCTCAAGGTCAGCAGTTCGAAACTATCAGCTGCTCCATGGGAGAAAAATCAGGCATTCTGCTCCCATAAAGATTTACAGCCTCGGAAACCCTATACAAGGTCGCTACAAATTGGAACCGACTCCACGGCACACTACCACCACTACCACCCCTGCTATACAGGGTTGCTATGAGTCAGAACCAACTCTACATCATGTACTAACAACCACAACTGTTTGAAATGTACACACAAACTGTCTCTGAGGGCAGCTTTGTGTGTGAAAAGATTGAGGGTTTGGGGATTGCCAACCCTTGGTTCTAACCCTAGCTTGGCCATTTCCTGTGTGACCTCAGGCAAGTTACTTCGCCTCTCTGATCCTGGCTGTTCATCCTTGTGATGAGAATGGCAGTTGTGCTGTGGGCACAGGAATAAAAGGGACAACATGTAGGAAGTGCTGGCACGGGGAGGAATTTGAAAGTAAAACCAAGCCCACTGCCACCCAGTAGATTCTGACTCATAGTTACTTTTAGGACAAAGTAGAATCACTCCCTGTTTTTTCCGAGGCTGTCAATCTTAGGGAAGCAGACTGCCTCATCTTTCTCCTGCGGAGGGAGCAGCTTGCGGCTTCAAACCACCAACCTTTCAGTTAGCAGCCCAATATGTAAACCAGTGCTCCACCAGACTCCTTATGGAGGTCGTTAGAGATGGGTTTTCTGCCACGAGGAGTCGGCAGTAACTTGAAAACAAGTTCTGTCCCAACCTGACTCCCACGTACTTCCTTCCCTCCAGCTTCCTGACTTGGTATTTGATACTTGTGAGCTCCCTAGATGATTAATCTTGAAGAATCATGCAAACAAACAAGTAATTACAATCAAATGCTGACAAACACCAGCTCTCCTAAATAGAAGCAGAATGTCATTTATTCATTCAAGCCGGCTGGCACCAGGGGCAGGAACAAAGCATTCTGGACTCCAGAGGGACATGAACTCTGCCTGGAGCTACACCCAAGGCTGCACAGGAAACACTGAAGAGAAGAGCAAAGGACACTGGAGTCAAGGGGAGCAGTGAAACAGGACATGCAAAGGCAGACAAGGGAAAAGGGGTCCAGGCGCGTGAGGAGGGGTACGCCAACCTTATGAATAGTCACTCAAAAAGTCACAGGACTCTTTGACAGACCACAAGGCATGGTTTATTGCTGTTGTGCCCATTTCTCAGGTGCACAAGGAAGGGTCAAGTGTCCAGGAGTGAGAGGGGCCAGCTGGGGACACCTGCAGGCTGACCCAGTGCTGAGCTCCTGGCTACCTTATGTTTCCTCAGGAGGGTGGCAGTGTTCTGGGCTGAGAGTGTGCAAAGGGCCTGGGGCAGGGTCTGAGGTGTCACTGCTGGCTGGGCAGAGCAAGGGAAGCTCAGGGCAATGGGCCAGGGAGGTGGACTTGGTCCTGCTCTCTGCTGAGTCAGTGAAGGGAGGTCAGGACGCAGGACACAGGAACCAGAGATGGCATAGCAGAAGAGCTGAGCCTGGATGCCAAGCTTCAAACCACGTGCCAGCCATATCTTCATGGGATGCAGATGGGGCAAGCCGTGCTGGGCAGGCAGCCAGGCTCCAGACTCTCAGGTCTCCTGATTTTACTGATTGATTGTTAGCACTCAGTGGAGCGTTCATTAAGTGATCTCAAGTCTCTTTGGATCAGAGGTCGTTGGCAATGCTCTATGTTCTGGCCCCATACCCAAATACTCAGAAAACTTTTCACCTGAGAACATGTGGTAGCCCCTGAAGAAGAAGGGAGGCAGAAGGAGTCAATCTCCTTCTTGCTGTGTGACCTTGGACTAGTGGCTTCACCTCTCTGAACCTCTCTTCCCCAACTTGTTACTGAGCATTTCTAGTGCCAACTGCTGTTCTCAGGGCTGCGCACAGATGGTCTTGATCCTCACAACACCCTATTTATGGACAGGAGATGAGGGCCCCTTGAGGTGAAGGATTATTGTATACAAAAGAGAAACCAGCATTCCAGCCAGGAGTGGATTACCCAAGAAGCCAGGTAAGCATGGGCTTACTTGTGCTTAGTTACCAATCTATCAGAAAAAATTTCACATGGGTTTCATATCTTTGATATGGTGACAAACATATGAAAGTGTCTACTACAGATTAGTTGTTGTTAAGTGCCACTGAGTCAGTTCCGATCCATAGCAACCCTGTTTAGGGTTTCTGAAGAGCGGCAGGTGAGCTTGAATTGCCAATCTTGCAGTTTAGACCAACTTTGTAGTCCAGCGCATTAACCTGCAGCAACATACCAGGACTCTGAGCCTGTGCTTACCTTGCTTACTGGGGCCTCCATCTGTCAGGGATTGTAAATTTGAAGAGAAGTTTTGATTCTGTGGGGTTGGGAGAGAGACAGATGCCAGCCATACATAGAAGCAGAATCCTTAATGTGGTGAAAACAAGTGAAATTGTTCACTACAGATTAGTATGTAAACACAAGTAGGCTTGTGCTTACTTTGTTTACTGGGTATTCTGACAGATTCCAGCTCAGGCAGTCTGACCCAGGGTCCTGTGCACCTCACAACTCCCTACACCTGTCTGTGGACGGTTAGGACAATCAAGGCCCATGGATTTCGGGAAAAGCCAGCTCTGGCTGTGGCCTGCATGGCCCACTAAAACAAAAACATGGCAGTTTCTCTGGCATCAGCAGAAATTCTGAATCTGTGCTGCTCCCACCCCAACAGGAGACACTGAAGTTCCTGATATGTCGGGATGTTCTGAAGGGAATGGTGAGAATTAAGGAAAGCCTTAATTAAGAGGCTCATCTCTGTGGGATCAGTGCCTCGTGAACACCTATCTCAATGGACTCCTGTGGTTTTACTGTTTCCCTTGAGTCTATGAGCCCCCTGATTTTGTTGTCTTCCCATGGGGACTGAAAGAGAAGTCTCATTAGGGGAAGGCTTTGTGATGTAGGTCAAGAGAGTCAAGGATATGTGTCAGACTGGAAGGGTAGGCCATGGAAAACTGTTGAGGGGAAGGGATTATGCAGGAGAAAATTCACTAGGGAAAGAGTAGGAGAGCGTGGTGAGGAAAAATATTGGCAAATAGGAGAAAGCTCCTGAGGAAAGTAGGATTCTGGGTAAAATGAGCCCTAGGACACAAGGATAGGAAGTGTGTGTGGCCTTTCAGGTAAAGAATATGGTGAACAAAACCCAGTGGACAGACCTCACACCATGGGCAGACATCACACTATGGGGGGACATCACACTGTAGGGGGACATCACACCATGGAAGGACATCACACTATAGGGAGACATCACACCATGGGAGGACATCACACTATGGGGGAACATCACACCATGGGAGGATATCACACTATGGGTGGACATCACACCATGGACAGACATCCCCCCCATGGGCAGACATCACACTATGGGGGGACATCACACCATGGAAGGACATCACACTATAGGGATACATCACACCATGGGAGGACATCACACTATAGTGAGACATCACATCATGGGAGGACATCACACCAGGGACAGACATCTCCCCATGAGCAGATATCACACTATAGGGGGACATCACACCATGGGTGGACATCATACTATAGGGGGACCTCATACCATGGGAGGGAAGGACATCACCCTGTAGGGGGAACATCACACCATGGGCAGACATCCTCCCCATGGGCAGACATCACACTATGGGGAGACATCACATTGTAGGGGGACATCACACCATGGAAGGACATCACACTATAGGGAGACATCACACCATGGGAGGACATCACACTATGGGGGGACATCACACCATGGGAGGATATCACACTATGGGTGGACATCACACCATGGGCAGACATCACACCAGGGATGGACATCCCCCCCCCATGGGCAGACATCACACTATGGGGGAACATCACACCATGGGAGAACATTACACTAGGGGGGACATCACATCATGGAAGGACATCACACTATAGGGATACATCACACCATGGGAGGATATCACACTATAGGGAGACATCACATCATGGGCAGACATCACACCAGGGACAGCCATCCCCCCATGAGCAGATATCACACTATAGGGGGACATCACACCATGGGTGGACATTATACTATAGGGGGACATCATATCATGGGAGGGAAGGACATCACCCTGTAGGGGAGACATCACACCATGGGCAGACATCACACTATGGGAGGATATCAAACTACAGATGGACATTGTACCACAGGTAGACATCTCACCATGGGTGAACATCATTGTACAGGGGGACATCACACCATGGCTGGACCTCACACTATGAGTGGACATCACATCATGGATGCACTTCATGTTATGGACAGACATCACACTATAGGGGGTCATCACACCAGGGACGAACTCACACCAGTGGAGACATCACTTTAAGGACGGATATCATGCTATAGATACCATGAGTGGGCATCATACCACAGTGGCCATCACACCAGATTTCAGAGAGCAGTACCACAAAAGTGTCACCCCATGAGGGCACGTATCCGACTGGCTTATCCACGGCTGTGCCACCACCTCCAGCCCAGCATATATTTGTGGCACAGTTAAGTGTAGAATAGGAAATGGCCATATCTGGATAACCAACAAGGAATGAACCAGCCCCTCAGAGATGGAGAAAGGATTTAGCCTCCAGGAACATCCTTACATGTGTACTTTTGAGAACGCAAAGCTTTCAGATGAGCAAAGCCTTAGATGAGCTAGGTTACTGGACTTGGTTTAGAAACTTGCCTGAGACAAAATCTATCCTTTTCTGTTTTTCTTTCTTCTGCTATTGCCACTGCTTCTTTTATGACTGAAAATGCAAGTCAGTGAAGTATAAGACCTGCCTCTTGAAGTTCTTCCCGGGGTCACTGGCTATCTGGAAGACCAGTGTCAGCAGCCCAAAGGGCAGAGCTCAAGGGTGAGATGAAGAACTCATAAACTCTCCAGGTTGCAATGAGTGAGCTTAGAATGGAGGCACATTTGACATGGGTGTCCGTGTAGCAGGTGGAGAAGGCAGGAGAGTGGAAGGGTTTGGGGGACAAAGGAAAAAGTGTGGGTAAAGGAACAGGGCTGAGCTCATCTGATAGAAAGGGGACAGTGGCAAGCACATGCAGGTTGCACCTTATCTGGCAACTCAGATCCCTTGGTGGCACTGAAGATCCTGAGACTGTATCTGGTCTCACCTGGAGCAAGTGCTAAGAGGGTCTGTCAAAAGTGCTGCTACACGGAGGCCCCTGGGACCATCAACAGAGAAGAGCGGAGAG